AGATGTTATAACAGAAAGCATTTCAAAATGAAAAGGATATTTAAACAGAAGTTTCCATGTGCTCTAGGAAGAATTTAAAGTCGAGATCCCCTGTCCCATTTAATTCAGTAATTAACTGGACTTGCTCTGTAGTTTGGGGGAACTGTAATGGTTTACACCTGTTTCAACTTTTGCTGTTTTTATTGGCAGTGACTTTTGCCATCCCATATTTCGTGTGAAGCAAAAATATGAAATAAAATATGGCAAAGCATTGGAGAAATTATAATAAACATAAAAAATGAATTGTTCAGCTTAAAGTACGAAAGGCTTTACCTGCACATTTAGTCGGCCACATTTCAGTAGTAGTGAAGTAATTTATTCCTGGAGTTCAATGTCATGAAAATAAGGACAATTGCTTTTATTGGCAGGAATAATTCAGGGTTTTTAACATTCAAGCGAATAGATGTTGGAATATTAGTCAGTACTCATATTGTAAAGATAGTTAAACAACAACAACAAAAACCCTGCTAAATCATTATGTGTGTGTTCACGTTACTATGGAAAAAAAAAGACAAGAGAGTTAGTGTATGAGATTGCAAAGCCTCACTAGAACTGTTTTACCACACAGTACAATCATTAGGTTTCAAAAGTCAAGGAATATTGTGACATAAAGTATGGCTTGGTTTACTTCACAGGCACCATGTCTACCTCCAGACATAATGAATAGAAAATGATTTGAGTCAAGATATTATCATACTGCATATTTTTTCTTACAGTCCCACTCTCTGATGTCTCTCTAGAAGTGCCCTTTATTCTTCAGGTCTAACAGTAACTGTCCAGCTCTAGTGTTGCGTTCAAGTTAAATGACTAACTTTTCAGTGCATTGTCCAGAATGTGAATAGCCACATTAAATTTATAATACGTTTAATTTGGATAGAATTATGACTGCGAAGAGCTCTCTGGGCAAGTTGTCAGGAGAGTTGGACTTTAGTTTTGGCTTTATCTCACGAGTTGGGTGGCTTTGAATGTTATACTGGTTAGGGTTGTAAGTTGAATATGGAAAGGGCCTTGCCATTTTCGATTCATTGGCACAGGACCTAAGTATTTGTGGAATGAAAGAGTGAACTTCAACCGGGTTTGGTGGCCCAGCCTGTAATCCTAGCGCTTTTTGAGGCTGAAGTGAATGGATTACCTGAGCCCGTGCGTTCAAGACCAGCCTGGGCAACTTGACGAGAACTCATCTCTACAATAAAATAAAAAATTAGCTGGGTGGGGTAGGAGCCCAGCAGGTCGAGGCTGCGGTGGCCAGGAGCAGCCACTGAACTCCAGTCTGGGCGACAGAGTGAGACTCCAACTCAAAAAAAAAAAAAAAAAGAAAGAGTGAACTACTTTTCTGGATCTGTAAAATGAACATTTAAGATGACTAATTGTATACTGAGAAAGAAATGTTCTTCAATCCCTCCCCACCCCCAAATCTCTCACTTCTTGGGAAAAGTGAATATATATACTTATATATGTGTGTGTGTATATACATTATATATTATATATATTATGTATATTTTATTGATGTATAATATATACATTTATTTTTATTAATTTTTTTTTCACTTCGAAGTCTCACTCAGTCACCCAGGCTGGAGTATAGTGGCACAATTACAGCTCACCATAACCTCAACCTCTTGGGCTCAGGTGATCCTTCTGCCTCAGGCTCCTGAGAAGCTGGAACTACAGACGCCTGATATCATGCTTGGCTAATTTGTGTATTTTTTGTAGTGGCTAGGTCTTACTATGCTACTCAGGCTGGTCTAGAACTCTTGGACTCAAGCAATCCTCTTGCCTTGGCCTCTCAAAATAATAGGATTACAGACATGAGCCCAGTGCCCTGCTAGAGTTTGTATTTTGATACTCATGAATTTGGGCTCAGAAGGATCCCTGTTGAAGGAAGAGAAGACTTTTGGTGAAATGTCACTCTCCCTTGATTGGCTTCCATGGCTTTGGCAGTTTTGCTTGTTTGGGGTCAGTGAAATCCTTCAGGAGACCCAGCAACCGGGGAATGATATAAGGATGCTCCCTAGGAAGAGCTAATAACAGGGACTAATCATAGTTTGCACCTGAGAATGCAGTCGAATCAAGAACTCAACCAGGGTCTGCTACCAGAGTATTTAAGGGCTTGGGAAATGGATACATCAGAACTCAAGTAAAATCAGGCTCAGATTTGGAGTTTCATATATGTAAACACTTGGAATAAAAAAGGCCAAAGATTGTTGGTGCTGATGAATATAATATGCCATCTCTGGCTCTCTGCCTGCTGTTTTCCCTTAAATCATAAGCTTGCTATAAAGTTGCAGGTTTCTGGTTAAATTGGAGAGGGATTTTTTTCCCCCCACTGGAGCATAGTTAGAGTTTGGGGTCTGAGGACATTTCTCCCTTTTTATTCATTTGGAGATTGAAGGGCTATTCTGTGAAATGTGTTTAGTGTTTTGATGGACTTGGAATGAAGGAGCATTTCAAAGTTATTACATAATGCGTTTGTCTTGAGCAAAATAAGTCTCCTGAAGGAATTTTCTGTGATAATTGTACTTGTATAATGAAATGTTAATGATTTAATTCTAAGTTGTGGAGAAGTTTCCTGTGATGAAAGGAGTGATTGTCTGCTTTGCTTGATAGACTTTGAGAATATCTCTGATTTTTAAAAATTTATTTTCAAAGAAGTTTCCTAAATGCCACTAGATTTGTTTTTCAAGTGTCTGTGCCCTTGTCTGCTATTTTCATTGCCAACTGGTTGTAGGTGCCATCAAATATGGCTCCTTTTAACTATTTTTAAACTTAGACAAAGACAGCCCAAGAGGTGGCTAAGTGCCTCCAAGACACTTATCATTAGGTTTGGGTGCTGACCTTTTTATCTTGCTTTGGTGGCCCCTTTAGCTATGGCCAACCACTCTTGCTAGTTTGTAGAAGTTTGTTCAACTCTTTATGTTTTCATTAAGCTTTAATGCTGATATATTTCCAAGTTAGAGGGTTAAAATAATAGTTTGTACGCTACAAAGAATCTGATTGTGGAAATGTGTGATTCAAATGACCTGCAGGAATGTCTGTTTCAGTTCATGCCGTTGATGGTGCAGAATCTGTGCAAACAGAAAAGTTAAAAAAGTTATTGGCATTAGGCATTAATTTCCTTTTGCTGGTACAACAAATTACCACAGTGTGGTAGCTTAAAATAGCATAAATGTATCTTACACTTTTGGAAGTCTAAAGTCTGAAGTGGGTTTCACTGGGCTGAACCTAGAGTGTTAGCAGGGCTGTGCTCTGGGGAGGAATCCCTTTTTTTTTTTTTTTTAACTTTTTCAGCTTGTAGAGGCTACCTACATTCCTTGGCTCATGGCCTCTTCCTCCATCTTCAAATCTTTCTCCCCTCTGATCTCTGCTTTTGTTGGCATTGTTCTTCTCTCCTAGTCCTTCCATTGTCACATTGCTTTCTTGCACTCTGATCCTCCTGCTTCCTTCTTATAAGGTCATACTTGTGTCTGTTTCATCTGCATAATTAAGGATAATCTTCCTGTCTCCAGATCCCTAATCACATCTGCAAAATCCCTTTGCCATGTAAGGTTCCAGAGATAAGGACATGAACATATTGGGAACAGGGGAATGATTCAGGCCTGCCACACATTAGAATACAGTTCTTTATTTCTTTTTAGATTTTGTTTTAAAACATTTTCTCAGATTGTCCTTAGAAATTCCAGAAACATGTACTTCATGCTCTATTGCTTAGATTAAAATGCATTGATAAAAAATACTATTTTTGCAAAAGTTGAGATATCTTTTATTTAGTTGTACAATTAAATTGGTAAAAATTTTAATACTTGTCATTTCTTTGAAGGCAGAGAGATTTTCTTTGAGTTTTCGATCCTTCACTTAACAGTGTCAGAGTTATAGTAGGTGCTTGTCCAAATTTGTGAAGTGACAAATGTGATTCTTAAGTGATTGATATGCCACACATTTTGGGACGTCAGTGATTTTTAACAAGTGTTCTGGACAGACATACACATATACACATAGGCACTGCTCTGCTGCAGTGTTACCTGGCAGTTGTCTGGCTTACCCTGGGCTTTCAGACTTCAGTTTTCAAGAGGTCTTGCTTCAGCTCCTTCCCTAGTCTTGGCCTGGAGGTGGCTTCTCCAGTTAACCACTGTTGTACCATATACCTGAATCAGAGTCCTATTTGTGTTTGCCCTCTTAGGCTGTTGCAACAAGATGCTATCTTTGTCTCTTCTCTCCTTTTAGTCAAATTCCCTACCCCTCACTGCAAATGAATACAAAATATTCATGAAGCTACAAGACGTATGAACAGAGATAGAGAAATGGTTTTGTCCTGTATTTATAGGCTACCATATATATATATAGAAATGATGTAAAAATATAACGACCTTTTAATGACCTTTAAATTTCACATGCAGTTTTATTGTTGGCTACGATAGTCACCGTTTAATTCTCATGTTGTTTTTGCTCTCTTATCGTATGCAGATGAAGGAGTGAATTAAAGTAGTATATGATGCCAACTGAAATCAAGTAGATTATATAGTCATTGTAAAGCATAAAACGGAAACAGTCCAGAAGTAGGCCACATTGGGTGAGCCACCTGTTGACAAGGCAGGCTCATGCCTGGGATTAATTATAGGCAGGAAATATGAATTGAGCACTATAGCGGATTACTTTGATAGTTGCGTTTGTTCATATAGTTCCTTGACTATGAAAGGACAAGATAACTTTCATCTAAATGTGTAGAGATTTGTGAGTCTTTCAGAAAAAGAGTGTTAAGTAAGCTAAAGATATGTAATTGGGTTGGTTTTTTTATTCTTTATCAGCTTTGCACACCAGTGAAGTCTATTGGCATTCACTGAGCTTTGAGAGAGCAGGGTTGGCATCTCCTTTGCTTTTGTATTCTCATACCTGATACTTGAAAGTTTTAGATACATATATTGAAAAAAAGAAACAATTTTAAATGTATACCTTTTTATTTGCAGCTGCTGCTGAAGGAAAAGGCAGAAGTGGGGAAGACTTTTTTCAAAAGGTAGGTTGCTCTTTACTCTTGCCTTGGAGATAAGTAAAAAGAAATACACTTGTCTCAACAGCTACTTGAGAAGTCCCTAAAAGCTCTCCTTCATATGGAAGAGAATAGGTTTTGATAAGATAGCTTGAAGCATTTAGCTTGAGTGAGGAATGGGAAGGATACTGTATAGGACTTAACCATTCTAAGAAAGCTCATTGTGGGAAAAATCTGAAGAGTTTTTGCTTTAAGGCAAAAAAAAAAAAGGACGTAAGAAGGTCCAGAGGTGGGTTGAATTTCTGCAGCTAGCACATGACATATGAGGGGTTCATCGTGCAAGATGAAATATACTTGTCTTATATGATGAAATGCCCTCCTTGTATGGAGGGAGGTCTCTTCTAAAAATATATAAATGTACAACTTTTAAAAATGCTATACTGGCCAAATAAATGGTGCCACCAGTTTTCCACCTCTGTGTTAAGCTCAGGCTGTTGAAGTTTATGTACTATGTGTGAAGCCCCCGATTTGGCATTATTTAACATTGGTTAATCTCCAACTTGAGCATTTCAGAATGCCTTCCCCTTAGCTGGGGCAGGCTTAGCAATAAGGGTAAGGAAAAAGAAGACAGCAGAAGTCATAGATTTACCTTAGGTTCACTGTGATGGTACAAATAGATGATATCGGTGAAATACATTTTTTTCTTTGTTGTTCTTCTTTAACTTTCAGATAGAGGTGAAAAGCAGACTTTTCACACCTTTGTGTGATTTCAGACAGTTTAAAAACTGAGTCAAAATACAGTGTACATGGTCATAAAGGCTTTCATTCTTAGAAGATTTGCTAATATTTATCGCTCTTTGTAGAACCATATACATTCCAGCAGTTTAAGTGGAAACACATGTTTGAATTCAAGAATTCAAATTGGGCATCCCACAAACTAGATTCCATTCCTGATCACAGGTTAATGAGGTCTCTGAATTACTAAACGGAAATAATTTTTTTCTAATTTTCTTCTTTAGTTCAATAGAAAGTATTTTCTTGATAGACAAGTGTCCGTATAGGATTTGGATACTCACTCTGGAAACAACCTGTAACTTAAAAGGCAAACACCCCAAATTCCAGAAGAGTAATTTTCAGTGTTTTGACTAGACAGAAGTAGACATTATAGTTCATCTACAGTAGAATGAAGTAATGGAGAAGTATTGGATTGTCCTCCAGGAACTTTCATTTAGTCACATGTGTTCTAGTTTCACATAAAGACATTTTGAGAGACATTTAAAAACAAGAAATAGGCCACATTGTCGTTCACTAGCATCTTTGAAGAAATACTTTTCTTTTCTTAGAGTAATACATATATGAAGGATCTATATGCCTATTACTGATATGCTTTTTGTTTTTGATTCTGGGGTGTGCAAGACAAAAAATGAAAACCTCACTTTCATTGAGTTTAAAGTTCATCTACCCTAATTACTTTAAAAAATATGTTCTAAATCTGGAAGGATACCTACCTAGCTTCATAGTGGTGCTCTCTAGATGAGGACTGGACAAGAATGTGAGACTGCTATATGTTACTGTAATTATTGTATCATATAAGCATATGTAAAATCATAACAATATGACTATACTGATTAAATTTTACTAAATTTAATTAATTATTCTCTAAATTTATTCAATTAGAAAATAATAAATTTAAATTTAAAATACCTTTCAGAATAAACATGGGTCTATTTTCATAAAGAGTTTAAATTTAAGTTAACAGTAATATAGTGTCTCCGGTTTGAGGCTATACAAGGGGGACCGGAAACAAAAAAAATTACCTTTTGGAGGGTGCCCCCCCCTTGTAATACAGGCTTCCTCCACTAGGTGAGTGTTCTAGGAACCATCCTCATCAGTGTACCAGCTAGTGTTGTTGTGAAAGACTGTGTTTGGTTTCAGTGAATTTTTTCTGGAGCTTCTTACAACGCGTTCGCCCATTCCATGATGGGTGATTTATGAATGCTCTTGCCCACACCAGTGTTGAGTGTTCAGCAGTTTTTGACCCAAAAATGGCATGACCCCTGTGCCCCACCCTCCTTATTCACACAATTTCAACCCGAGTACCTTTTTTTTGTTTTGTTTTCCTGGATGAAAATAGTCCTCAAAGGGAAACATTATTTTGCCGATGCGAAAGAAGTGAAATAAAAAACAGTAGAAGCAAAGTAAAAGACATCATCATGATGAGTTCAAAAACTGTTTCGAGCAGTGGAAAAAGTATCTTGACAGGTGTATTGCATCAAATGGAGAGTACTTTGAAGGTGACTCAGTTTTAAACATGTAAGAATAAACACATTTTTAAAAATAAATTCTGGGTTTATTTGGGTCCCCTCTGATAATAGTTTTGTTCAGTTTACTAAACTTATTTATTTTGTTAAGTTATTTTTTCCCCCAGAAAGCTGCCTAGTTTTCCATATACTGTTTTACTACATGGATTTTATTTTCCTGACACTTTATTATGGTGAAAAATCCAGATATAGATTATCTTTTAAAACAGGGTCCTGCTGGGCATGGCGACTCAAACCTGTAATCCCAGCACTTTGGAAGGTTTAGGTGAGGGGATTGCGATTGCCTGAGCCCACAGGTTGGAGAACAGCCTGGGCAACTTGACAAGACCTCATCTCTACAGTAAATCAAAAAATTAGTCAGGCGAGGTAATGTGTGCATGTAGTTCTGGCTACGTGGAAGACTGAGGCAGAAGGATGACTTGAGAACAGCAGGTTGACACTGGGGTGGCCATAAGCGTGCCACTGCACTCCAGCCTGGGTGATGGAGTGAGACTCCATCTAAAAAACAAACAAACAAACAAAAACACAGGGTTATTTGTTTGGCTCTCATGTAACATTACAAGGAGAGTATTCCAGCTTGGTAGGCAGCTTTGTCCCATGCTATTGGTTAGGGATCCAGGCTCCTACTAAGACATAGCTGGGTTAGTCCTTAAGGCACAGCTCTTTCTCCATGGTTGAAGCTGGGTCACCACCATGTCCAAATGTGAACTGGTGAGAGTATTGAGGAGAAGGGTGCCATGGTTGTAAGACCCAAGCCTATATGTGGCATCTGTCATATCCTCATATCCCCTCACATTACATGGGAGAAAACTTCATTATGTGACCTTACCTAATGACAGTAAGGGAGAGGTTGGGACATTGGGAAAAAAAATTTGAATTTGCAAACACTGTTCATCAAAAGCTAGATTTTTAGGAAAAAATATCTCTGTGGTCAAAGTGTAATGTCTTCATATGATATACTTTGAGACTTTTTGTATTCGTTTTTTATGGCTGTCATACTGCAAACTGGGCGACTTAAATATGAGAAATTTACTGTCTCACAGTTCTGGGGATTACAAATCCAAGATGGAGGTGTCAACAGGGTTCCTTCTGAGGTCTGTAGGAGATAATCTGTTCCAGGCTTCTTTTCTAACTTCTTCTGATGGTTTGTTGGTGATCTTTCATGTTCTTTGGCTTATAGAAGCATCACCCTGATCTCTGCCTTCATCTTCATATGTCATTCTCCCTGGGTGTGTGTCTCTGCGTCAAATCCCGCCCCCCTTTTTTTGGGTAAGGATAGCAATTATATTGGATTATGGGTCCATCCTACTCTGCTGTGGCCTCATCTTACCTTATTACATCTGTAGTGACCCTATTTCCAAATAAGGTCACATTCTGAGGTTCCAGGGATTAGAATTTCAACATATGATTTTTTAGAGGACAGTTCAATCTGTAACACCTTTTGGTGGAGAAAGTGATTCTGTCGAAAAATTTACTATAATTAGAAACATTTACTAAGCCTGTAAATATTAGTTATCGCATTATGATATTCACTTTGATTTATAGATTTTAACTGCATAGTCGTTTATACTAAATTGTTTTTTTCTTGCTACAAGCATTTCTGAATTGTCTAGAATAACTGACATGTAAAAAGATAAAAAAGTAATCTGCAATACTATCTGTGAAAGAGTTAACTATATACCCTTAGTCTTTTATCTGTGGATATTAAAATGTTTTTAAAGTGATTTTTAATATTCCCTGGTTAATGAGATTACAAATTAAAATACATATGTGCTGAATCCATCCCAAATGTTTTTCTGTGTTAAAACATTTAATTGTACATTTTATTCTTTGACTCTACCATAGTTACAAAAGGTGGAAATGCATATAACTTTATCAATATTCTCTCCAAATCTTTGCCCACTCCTCATGGCAACTCTATATCATTGAAACACATGGAAACAATCTTCTAGTTTTTTTTTTACAGTACTTTTTTGGGCAGTTGTTCATGGTTTACTCACTGTCTGTCTTATTTCCTTTTAATTGGTTATTTTTTTCCTTCTCTTGTGAAATGACTATGGTCAGATCTTGGAGGAGAAAATGTGTTACAGTATGCTAGGTGGGGATGGGGACAGTGATTGCATTACAAATGTGACTCATCAAAGCAACTGTTTTAGGAATCTGTAATCCCAATGGCTGAAGAAGACAAATTCCAGTCAGCATTATACTCGATGAAAGCCAAGTTTTCCATTGCATTGGAGTTATGTACAGTATTTTTCCCCAAAGTATGCATAGTATATTTCAAATGTAGGAACACTTTATACTCTTAAAATGTGTTGGATATTTATTTGGAAAACTAACCTATAAACAATGGTTTGTCACAGGACTAAGAGTAAAACTAATAACATAAATGAGGTGTTGTTTGGTAGCTTATGTGATATATTTTTATTACCTTCAAACTAATCCTTTTTGGGAAAACAGACTACTTTTGGCATTTTGAGACTGGAAAGTAGCATGTATTGTCTTCTGGGAGAAAATTGCTGGGAGGAGTACTTAACTCCCTCTGTACCAAAATTAGCTACATTAGAAGCTCTTAGGTGGGTACTACTCAATCTTTTTACTGGGGGAGGGGCAGCAGAGTTGCTAAAATTGCTTCCACTCTCTCCACTGACCCAATGTAGTCTTATTATTTTTATATTTTGAATAGATTATGTTCCCCCAGTAATA